GGCGCGGTAGAGGCGTTCGTCATGGTCACCAACTCAACGCTATAGCTGTCTCTCTTGGTATCGGACTTGCTTAGAGATAACGGATGTGATTGCTGCATGCTTTGTTTGCAGCACCTTCACCAGCCAGGGGTTGAGTAGAAAGTAAACGGCGGTATTGTATGTATGTATGTACATATGTAACGTGTAAATAATGTAAATATGGATTGACAACGGTTTAACTGATGTTCTGAAGGCATATACGTGTAGAAGGGAGGGGTTGAGGGGGGGTCGTGGTGTACTTTGGGGGCTCCGTGGGGTCATGAGGGGGTGGGGGGTGGGGGCTCCGTGGGTCATTTTGGTCAAAAATGTCGCATTTCACCCAATCGCCAAAAAAAACTCATCGGATATCGACGAAGCTCGACGCCGCGGTCACGCCCAAAGTTGTTTTTCACTTTCCAAATCGTTTTTTTTCGAAAGATATCGCGAAAAACAAGTTTGTGAATATTTGCCCGAACGGACCATAAGACTATACCAACTCATATTTTTCTACTTAAGATTGTGTGTCTCGAACGGGTAGTCTAGTTACTCTGTGAGGTTATGTTTACTTTCTAAAAAAAAAACACCACTACCTGCACGTGCGTGCTTTTGCTGGTCAGGTTCCCCTCCCATGAGTGATGTGTGCGACTTAAACCCCGTGAAGCACACCTCGACAACTTTCGCGGGCACCCATGCATGCCTCCGCTCTCCTACTACTCTCGAGGAAAAAGGAGCTGGATGGTCATCTTGACGATCTGTATTGCATTCGGGTCATTCACCCCCAGCTCCCTCCAACGCTCCCGGCTGCTCCATGCTGCTGCTGCTGCTGCACGCTGAACGCTGCTGCTGCGAGTTCCTCCCGTATGGCTATCTATCTATGCAGCGTTTGTTGGCAGGCCTGCAACAAGCAGATTATTGCAGCAGTTAGTTGGAAGCAGCAGTGTTGGCGTGATGGGATGATGCATCGGCGGAAGAAACCTGCAGCCGGCAACTTGTGACTGATTACTGCTGGGATCTGACTGCTGTGACACACACAAAGCACACCCGGCCGGGTTACCAATTGCCGGGTATCCGGCGAGCGACGGCCCAGCAGGTGAGCATGTTTTCTGAACGCTTCTTCCCTAGACTGCCATTCTCATGTACTACGGATAAAACTCTTGCCAATATAATCTACTCCTCGTTTGTTCCGGGCCTCTATTTAGAACGTACAAACCATACTACTTCCAAACTTTCAGCAGTATTATAGTAGCACCACCTGCCCAAACGACCTCCGCATACGAACAATTTAGGCCAAACAGCACATCACGATGTACCTGCTGCAGACAAACGCAACAACCCTCGTGGCGGGCAGTTGTGAGAGTCTTGACACTCGCTCGCCACCACCGATTTTCTAAAGTTGCAGCCTTGGACATTTGCTTGCGAGAGTCACAGGTAGACTACGCCATGTACTCGTCAGGTGTGCACCTATCTACGAAGTACATATGTCATTAGAAGTCATTTTTCAGTCATTTTCGCACAACCAGAGCAGACCATCTACAGCAATGGGATACAAAAAAATATGGTATCCCTTTGATCTGCTCCAGTGTATCTATTGCTGTAGTCTAGACTACTGGAGTATCATAGGTAGAGAGAAAGAGAACAATCCGATATGCATGGCACGATGGAGTGTTTCCACCACGCGCACACAGACGGGGTCGGTAGCGTTGGTGACGTAGTTTACCGCCCCCGGGAGATTGTCTGCCAACGTTAAGAAGAGTGCCGTCATGGTGTGCAACGAGAACAAGGAGGAACCAGTAGAACATAGATGGAAGTGGGGGATCGAGGAGATTGCAGTAGTGGACCAGTACACATACCTCGGAGTAGAGATCGCAAAAGACTGCTCGTGGAATGCACACATGTCCAAGGTAGCGGGAAAGGGCAAAGCACGAGCAGGGAAGCTGCACCCCATACTCGCAAATCGGCACCTCGATGCGCATCAAATTGACGGT